CCCCATGATGAGATAACCCGGATGAGCCAAAGTCGCAGAAGAAGGAGACGCAAGCAATGGAGCCAACTCAAGCTCAGCCCAGTGCAGCCAACTCCAGAGAACCTGCAAACCCACCAGTGAAAAGAAAGTCTGTTCCCGTAAGGCTCTGAGACTTGGGGGTTATCTTACACAGCATTATCCTAGAAAAACTAACCGATGCATATGTTTAGAATGTCCTTTGCATGGGAAGACTTCATTGCCTCGGCCTTTGTGCTGAGAGTGTCATGGAAGAGATTAATAGCTTTGTTTCATGCCATCGAGATTTATGAATTTTTTTTTGTCTTTTTTTGTCAGGAACTTCTTTCATGACCTGAAGTGTGTATTGTTCACACCCACAGGGTAATCCACCACATTTGTCAGATTGCACCTCCTCCCGGCCGGTGAGCCACTTCTAGTCACTCAGCCCTGCCTGTGGCCCACAAGGACTTTGCCTGTGCTGAGAAGACATCAGGTTTATGGGAACACCGAGCAGGTGGAATTTAGAGAGATGAGGGGCCTTTGAAAGGCGTAAGGAAGCACAGAGAAGCTCAGTTGGCTGGACCTCCTGGGAGAGCAGAGATGGGGAGCAGCTGCATGCCCACCACGATGCGAGGTGTGGTGCCACATGCCCAGACTAGGCTGTTCCTTGTGACATGAGGTGGACATCACGTACAAGGCTCCTCCCTTCATCCTGCCTACCACAGACAGGTGGGAAGCGTCTTTCCCAAAACCTTTGCTTCTTATCACGCTTGCCTTACCCTCTGAAATGAGGGCAGCAAACAGGGTTCGGAATGAGTCTGACACAGCGGAAGGAGTCAAAGCCCTGGAGAAGAGCATGAATGGACTTGGAAAGGACAGACTGAAACGGCAGAGGCATTTATACAGGTCTCCCCTACCTCTCAGAACAAAACAATTCTGAGATAAGAGAGGCATGGGTGAGAGGAAATGCTTCCATTTTTCACATCGCAAGCTGGAGAGATCCAATAGGCTGTTTATGAAGAACAATAAAAAAGATACATGAACCCAGTAAAGAGGTAGTTACAAATACATCGGGTGATTTTTGAAAAGCCAGGGTTTTCTCCCCGCTTTTGGATAAAGCTGTCAGCCAAGTATTAAAAGATTCTCTCTCTCTCTCTCTCTCTCTCTCTCTCTCTCTCTCTCTCTCCTGTCTCTCTTTTTTTCTCACTTTTTTCCCCCCAAAGCAATAACTGACACCCACTGGTTTTGTTACAATTGGCAGAAAGAGTTATCATTTTTCTTTAGGATTTGGAAATGCAATCAAAGACGGGCAGATTGGAGCCCGAATTAAATGAAGCTTAAACAAACACAAAGAAAAATCTCGGCTGGCTTTTTTTTTTTTTTTTAAACAAACAAACACTGGAATTGCAGCTCCTTGTTGCTAATTTGAAGCTGTAAAGAATTTGACACTCGCGCTTGATAAAATGGAGCCAAGCAGAATGGCGGGGACTTTCTGCATGTAAAGCACCGAGAATGTTCTGATCATTTTATGAAAGTAAAAACCCATTGTTTTGGGGGAAACTCTCTAGTGAAACCTGTCTGGCAGTGTGTGTGTGTGTGTGTGTGTGTGTGAATCACAGAGGATCTTTCTTCTGTTGACTTGAGAACAGATTAATTCTTCCTGGGGTAAATTAAATAAATGAAAGATCTGGGGTATGGCGGTATCAGTTCTGTGTGGCTGATGTCACATTTGCTCTGTTTTCGGTTTGGTTCCTATGTACCAAATTCTCCCCTTGAAGGTGTAGTAGACACATTTGTGCCAAAGAGTTAGCCTTCTGTTGGTACAATGATTTTGTTTTGATTCATCCTCATATGGAAAGCCTTCTTATACTCAGAACACCCCTCTCCTGGTTAGCTTCCACCACCAACTTGACACAGCCCAGAGTTATCCCAGGGAGTCTCAATTCGGGAATTTCCTCTTTCAGATTGGCTCGTGGGCATGTGGATCATTTCCTTGGTTGTTGATCCATGGGGGAGGGACCAGTTCCTGGGTTGACTAAGAAAGTCAGCTGAGCATGGACCAGAGGGAACAAGCTACTAAAGTGGCTTTTCTTTATGGTTCCTGCCTCCAGGTTCCTGTCCTGCCTTCTCTCAATGATAGGCTATGGCATGGAAGTGTGAGATGAAATAAACCCTTTCCTCCCCAAGTTGCTTTGGTCATAAGCATTTATCATTATGCTTAGACCTACACCACAGGCCTAAGAATCAGGACGGAGGCAAGGTGTCCCCTGCGGAGACAGAAAGATACCCACACAGGTTTGCCTTTGATATCTTACCCACCGGCCTATGGACAAAATGCTATGATTCCGAGAGCAGTCCATTTTTTGTGGAAAACTCAGAGTGAATTTGAATAGAAGAGAGGGCCCTCTATGTGTAGGGGCAGGGACCTCAAGAGCGACCAGGTTCCAGTCAGAGGCAGAGATGCTGCAAGACAGACTGAGGCTCACAGATGTGGTAGGAGACAGCTGTTATGGTTTGAATAGAAAACGGCTCAGGTGTCTGAGTACTTGTTCTTCCGCAGGTGACGCTGTTTAGCTGAGTTGTAAAACATGTCAGAAGAGAGGCCTAGCTGGAGGAAGTAGGCCACTGGGGAGTGGATCTTGAGGTTTATAACTCTACTTTGCTTCCTTTTGTCCATTTCTGGGTCCATTGGAAGAAGGCAGGTACTTGTGAGGAGGTAGCCCCACACTCCGGCCACTGCAGCTGTGACTGTGGAATATTAGTTTAAGATGTGTTACATTTGTTTATGCTGTGGCGCTTATGCGTTTGATGGCTCAAAGATGTGTTGCATTCCTTTATGTTGCGTTTGTTTAACTCTGTGAAGCTGTGTTACTCTGCCTGTCTAACACACTTGATTGGTCTAAAAAAAAGGGCTGAATGGCCAATAGTAAGGCAGGAGAAAGGATAGGTAGGGCCAGCAGACATAGAGAATAAAAGAAGAGGAGATATCTGAGAGAGAGGATAAAGGAACAAGAAAAGAAAGGAGAGGAGGATGCTGGGGGCCAGCCACTCAGGCACAGAGTAAGAGTGAAAGTGAGATCTACAGAAGTAAGAAAAGGAAAAAACCCAGAGACAAAAGGTAGATGGGATAATTTAAGAAAAGCTGGCTAGCAACAAGCCAAGCTAAGGCCAGGCATTTATAAGTAATAATAAGCTTCTGTGTGTGATTTATTTGGGAGCTGGATGGCAGGCTCCCAAAGTGCAAAGAGTCAAAAGAGAAAAAGAGTAAAACAAAACGAAACAACAAAACCAACAACAACAACAACCACACACACACACACACACACACACACAAACACAAACCCAACAACCCACAACATCCCGCCATGCCTTCTCTACCAGGATGGGCCATACCATCACACTGTGAGTCAAAATCAATTTCTCCTCTCTTAAGTTGGCCCTCTCTCCCCCTTTCTTTTCAGTCAAAAATTTGGTTGCAGAGATGAGTAATGTAGCTACTACAGAAGCAATGCCATGCCATCTGATTTCCTCAGTGATGCATGTTTGTATTTGGAATTTCCAGCTTCCTTCTCTTCTGTATAAGGACCAAGGACGTGTGAAGCATTGTTTTGGTCTTGGGTTCCATGAGGTAGAATTTGAGGTACTCACCCTGTGTTAGGAGTGAAGGCCACTCTGCTTTGCCAGTATTACCTTCTAGATGGGCTTGCCCAGTGCTCATGGATGCCCTGGGTCCCTGCCTAGCTGCCCAGCAGCAGTTCTGTTGTATCTCCAGCCTCTAGGATGCCAGCTTTGAGGGGCCTTGGGTAGCTGATTATTGCCCCCATACCATGCAAACTGTCTTTTATAAGCACAGATTGAAACCAGTGAATGTTTTCTCTACCTTCCCACAGCGGTTTTGAGTGAAAATTGTTTAGGAGGTTTGTGGTGTGTGTGTGTGTGTGTGTGTGTGTGTGTGTGTGTGTGATCTTTTGTCTTTGCCCCCCAGTGCTGGGGTTTGAGGCATACATAGGTATCCCAGGATTCTCTTGTCTCTGCCCCACCCCCACCCCAGTGCTACAACTCCCAGCCTTTTAAAGGGTGGGTGCTAGGGATTTGAACTCAGTGTCTTTTGTTTTCACAGACAGCACTGAGCCATTTCCTCAGCCCCAAGGTTTTGTTTGGTTTTTGATAGTTAGCATTTTATGAGAGTGTTATCATTTAGAGAGAAAACACTCACACTTTGGTAGTGGTCCTAATTTTCATCCTCCCAGTCCACCCATGTCCCTTCATGGTCAAATGGTGTGTTCAGGAACATTCATCTTCTTTCTCAGTGAAACTTTCTGACAAGGAAGGGGTGTATTCTTTATTTATACCATGCTTCTTTGTTTATCTGGTGTATGCATAAACACATGTATAGTGGGTAGCCATTCCAGCTTGGATCTGGAAGTTCCAACCCCCATTGAGACTCTGGCAACTGTCACGCCTACGAGGCGAGGCGAGGGGAGGCGCCTGGAGACCCGAGAGCTGGATGGGCCAGCGCTCTCTCTGTGCACTCTCTCTGTGCCGGGACGCTGAATTGTGCAGAGCTCCGGAGAACACCGCTGGACTG